ACACACACACACACACACACACACACACACACACACACACACACAAACACACAGAGACATGCACAGACACACACACACACACACACCTTTTTGCTTCAGGTGCTGAGAAAAAAAATGTATGAAGACAGAAGGATGGGGTATTAGAGATAAAGAAAAAGCAAACGAAGTGGAGGCACTACCTATGTGGTTGGTTTGTGTGTGTGTGCATGTGTGTGTGTGTATAGAGTGGACAGCATATAAGAGAGTGAGTGAACATCCCTGCAGCATGAATCCACCAGTTTGTGCGCTCAGGTTGTCTGGTTGACATAAGAGCAATGAAATAATAAAGATCCTGTTCTGTGTGTGTCAGTGTGTGTTCATAGTTATTCCTTGAACTAACAGCAGAATAAATTAGTATTACAAACCAATTTACCAGCTGGTAAATAACACTGAAAGAAAAACGCATTTAGAATAGCTTGACTGTTGATAATTCATTTCTCGTTTATTAATGCTGCTCGACAAGTTGTTTGCTACATTACTTTTAAACATCATGTATTTTTAGAACCGTTATGAAAAAACGTTATGAAAAATAATTATCTTACCTGTTGTTATTATGTTTGGCTTTCAGATGAACCCCAAAGTGCAGACTGAAATGCTGACCCGACGTACTTAAATAGCTGCTGGGGTGGCAAAAGGTACTTGCAAAAAACTGGGACTGGTACAGACACGAGGGGATGGTCAGCACGAGAGGTAGTAGGAGCACAAAGCTCTGACACCTGACTGAGGACAGGAGGCAGAACATGGAGGAGGAACAGGAGCAGGAGGAACTGAACAGAAAACATGGGGAATCACAGAGATTGAAAAATAGAACTACCTAAAAATAATCAAAAACACTCAAAGAGTAGATTACAGACGCAGACAGTTGTGAATACCTTACTGAAAGTTTGTGGCTTTGAACAATAGCAATTAGCTTTGACTGGACTGATGAGCTAATGGCTAGCTAATATAAGCGAGGCCAGATTAAAATGGCTTTCTGCCCCCCACAACTGTCCAAAAAATTTAAAGCTGTCCACAAAAACACTGTTTTATACACCTTCATATTAGAGGTCAACCAATTCATCGATCGGCCAGTATTTTTGACCAATATTTGTGTTTTATGTGCATGAATTCACTGATAACATAAAAACAATCTTAACTCAAGATTGTTTGTTTTTATTGTTATATATTTAAATGTTTTACATGGTTTGCTCCATTGTTGATGTTTCATTAATAGATGTTTTTTTTTTGTTCAAACTGAAACTTGTGAGTAATATTTGTTATTACTGCCATTTTTTATCATGTAAAAGGAGGAAGAAAAAGCAAATACAAGCTTCAAGAGTCGACCCAAAAAACAAACAAGTGTCAACACACATCAGGGGTCTGTTAGACTGAYGTCTGTATCGGTGTTGGAGGAGCTGATGCTAACCCGCTCTGCTCTGATGTTTTTAACGAGACCACAACAAAAAGCAAAGAAAACAACAACAACAACGAGGGGGTGGATTCTCACCTGGTGAGAGCGGGAACACCTTTGTGCGGCGTCATGAAGTTGTTCTTGAGGTTGAGGTGCGTCAGGTCCTGGCTGTAGAACAGCTGAGGGGGCAGCTCCTCCAGGCTGCAGCCCGACAGGTCCACGGAGCTCACCCTCTGAGAGGCGACCTGTCCCAGCGGGGTCAGGGAGACCAGGTGAGGACGCGTTCAGGAAAAAGTCCTTTAACAGATTTAAGGTATCGTACCTTTGAGGCGGCCCGGTGCCAGCGCAGGTGCTCGGCGTACGACTCGTAGCTGACGTAGTAGGTTTGACTCTGAGGACCGGCGGAGCTGAAGGCCAGGCAGTGGCCGTGCCTCTTCACCTCCTCCACCTGCAGCGAGGAAACAACGTCTCAGACTGTAGCTCCGCCCCTTCACACCAGCGCTGAACTCAGAGTCCGGTTACCTTTCCTCCGATGAGGGGCAGGATGTGCATCTTGCCGGTGTGTGCGTGTTTCACAGACGACACGATGAGGCAGGTTCCGCTCAGCGTGACCTGACGCTTCGACCACCGGTTCACCGGCAGCGCCAGCTTCCCCTTACGCACGTTGAACGCCCCCGAGAGCTGCACGCGCTCCGAGCGCCCCACGCTGCGAGGCTTCCCTGCAGGGGAGAGACCACACGACCCACAGCCAACGTTAACAGGTAGGAGTGCAGCGATACGCAAAACTTAACAGYGGTTCCATATTTTAGTTTCACAGTTCAATATTTTCTCAACACAAAAAAAGAGAAATGTCCTGCTTAACTTGTAATTTATCTAAATTAATTCTGAACATTTGTTTAACCTCAAAAGTACAGTTTTTTTAATTAAATGTTGCTGAAACAGCAAGTTTCTCAGTGGATATGTGCTCAAAAATGCAGCCTARGTGGAGAAGTCGAACACAGATCCACTGATCCTTCAACACAGAGCATCTTCAAGCTAAAATAAATTGAAAATCTGCATTATAGTGGTGCAACAACATGTAACTGTACTGAACCGTTCAATACAGATACATGTGYTGCACCACTAAGGGGTGGGTATAAAAAAATCGATTTGATCTTAAATCGATTTCATTTAAACTTGTGACGGGGTTCCTACAGCTTAAAGAAAGTAAAATTTCAGATTTTTAATACCACTTATGATATTTAAAGAACAACTTTACCACAAAACACAAATAGAAAAAAAAAACGCAGTTGAAAACAATTTTAGCCAAATATTTATTTTAAAACAAAACGACCTGTAAGAGGCATTTGGTCAATTCTTTAAAAACAAATAAAAGTTACCAATTATTGTAATATTTGAGATGAATTAGTCATCCTACGTACAATGTGTTAACATTTGTAAGACCTCGGTCTGAAGGATTGATTTGACATTTTAAGGCTAATTAAGGCCTTATTTTTGGATTGATCAATTCAACGCCTTTTAAAACTTTTTAAAGTACCTGTGACACGCCTATCCTTCAAATACAAAAAGTCAAAGAAAACATCTTTATACTTAAGAAAATTGGCATAATACACATGATTTTACCCAGTTTGTCTCATAACTGACATATTTTCTTTTGAATTTGGTTCAGCCAACGTGAAACAGGAAGTGACATCAAAGGAGAACTCATTAGTAAAACAAACTCTCTGGTCTTTGTTTATTGAAACAATATTTTTTGATCTTTAACTCTTCTTCGTCTCTTTGATAGTGACTCAAAATAATCTAAAGAARCATCAGATTCTTCTCTACAGTCTGTTGTTAGCTTTTGTTACAWCRCTCTGTTTACATGCAGACATTCCCCTTTGACATCACTTCCTGTTTCTTCACAGGTGAATATCTCAACAACTGTTCATCTCAGTGGTGTGAAATTTGTTTTGCCACATGTTATCGATGTTATCCTTCCAAAAATGCATTGTTTATTACAAAAATCTGATGTCACAGGCGCTTTAAAGAACACTGTGTGAAAATCGATTCACAGGGCACGAGGTGTTTTTCTCCACACCGTCTTGTGTGATGAAGCTGAGTTGTGTTTCTATGTTTTGTGTCACTCCTGGCTTGCTGTATGTTTACATCCAGTTCAGTGCTAACGTTATTTGGAGGAAAACGAAAGAAACTAAGGATCACAGACATCACAGCTGACAGACACCCTGGTGACTTCTGTTTGTAAAGATTTAATCTCATTCTGTAGAGGAAAACTACTGTATGTAAACATCTGACTGAAACTGCTCTCCCGCATGTAGAAATGTGTAAAAGACCACGTTCTAACAAAATCCTTTAGTTTTGTTACCAACATTAATATTTTTAAACTTCAAGAAACGTCTTGATATGAAATGTAGTCGTTTCATTTTTCCTTTTAATAAGTTTTGTTGAACAGAAGCTGACAGAAACATTACAAAAATGTGACTCATCATATCGAAATGAGGATTAAATCAAATTTGGTCAAAATGACCTAATTACATTTTCAGATTATTGGCTTTAAAAGCTACATTTTGACACCTGGATCATCCTGATATCTTAATTAAATCCATACATATGACTTCATTTGTCTTGTTGGTTACAATAATACATAAATATTTGGTCTGAATCCTAATTTTTTGTAATTTTAATGAGGAATTTTTGATGTCCTTTTAAAGAGAAAACCTCAAATTATATTTGAATATTGAGATTTCCCAGCTAAAAGAAGCACAGCTTTGCTAGCTCACAGGGAAAATCTCAAAATTTTAAGGCATTTTTCCTCAAAATCGGTTTTTTTTTTGTTGCTACTGCTCAAAAAATGCTTGAAAATTTTGTTTTTTGATTATATTTCAGACAGTTCATTTAAATGATACATTGATACAACGTTTATTAATTATG